AAAATTACAATTTTCTTATTGTGTCATTCCATCTATAGTAGTCCCTGCTTATCCATGGGGGCTATGTTCAACACCCTGTCCCCCAACCATGCCTGAAACCACTGTAGTACCACACCCTACCCAAGGAATGCCAAGGTCACCTTTTCACTTAAAGGAAGCACTTTGAGCTTCTCTTTGACCTATCTGAATTGTCAGCATCCCTACTTTTCTGCCTTGGGGCCATTATTAGGTAAAATAAGGGTCACTTGCACGCAAGTACTGAGATACCATGACAGTGAATCTGATAACTGAGGGCTCCTACGTGACTAACAGGTGGGTACCATATATAGTGTGGATAGGCTGGGAAGAGGGAGGATTCATGTTCCACCTGGGACAGGGAAGGATGGTGTGAGATTTTGTCATGTTACTCGGAACAGTGTGCAATTTAAAGCTTATGAATTGTTTATTTCTGGAATTTTTCATTTAATATTTTCAGACTCTAGTTGACTGTCGATAACTGAAACTATGGTCCAGGAAACTGCAGGGGTGATTGCTATACACTTCTAATTGGCATTTTTCTTTAAAACATTTTTAAATTATTTATTTTTGAAGCAGGATCACACTTTGTCACCCAGGCTACAGTGCAGTGGCACAATCACAGCTCACTGCAACCCGGACCTCCCACACCCAAACCATCCTTCTGCCTCAGCTTCCCAAGTAGCCAGACCACAGGCTCATGCCACCATGCCTGGCTAATTTTATTATTTTTTGTAGAGACAGGGTCTCACTATTGTTGCCCAGACTGATCTTGAACTCCTAGTCTCTTGTGATCCTCCCACCTTAGCCTCCCAAAGCATTAGGATTATAGGTGTGAGCCATGATACCTAGCCTATAAGTGGCATTTTTCTATAAAGAAGAGCTTTTTCTCTTCAATTAGAGCTATTTGCTTCCCCTGAACTATAGATGATTCTTTAAAGCAGGAAATAAAAAATGCTGTCTTTCCTCCATCACCCCAGTAATTTTCAAGTAAGAGATTGGTATAGTAGCTCCTGCATTGAAACGTTTTACATTGCTCGTGTGCAGTGCAGATATGGTGTTCTCTTTAAATTTATGGATGAAACAAATTGTGTATATGAGGATTTTGAGCTTCTAAACATTGTTTTTGTTGGTTTTTTTTTTTTATTTTTAGTAGAGACGGGGTTTCACTGTGTTAGCCAGGATGGTCTTGATCTCCTGACCTCATGATCCACCCGCCTCGGGCTTCTAAACAAATTTTTAGGAAATTTTATGGTTTTTAACTTTTTTAAGTGTTTTCCATATTTTTTGCAATTGATTTATAATTGTGCTGTGGTTAGAGAATGTAGCCTATATTATTGTTTTTAAAATTGTTGAGAAGGCTTATGTTACCTAATATTATTAGTTTTCTTTTTAAATGTGTTTTGTTGTCTTAAAAATGAATGTTTCTATTCTTTTTATTAGATGAAAGGTACTAAATGTTTCATTTGATCAAGATTAATATTATTTGAAACATTCGTATCCTTTTTTATCTGCTTGATGTATCAGTTACTTAGATGTATTAAAAATCTCCCATTATAAATTTTCCCATTTATACCCATACTCTTCAGGTTTTGCTTTATGTATTTTGATGATATGTTTTTATGGTTATAGAGTTTCATGATTGTTAAATTATCTTTTTGGATGGTTTCTTCTATTAGTAATAACATCTCCTTTGCCCATTATTAATGATGTTTGTTTGTTTGTTTATTTTGAGACAGAGTCTTGCTGCTCTGTTGTCCAGGCTGGAGTGTAGTGGCAGGATCTCAGCTCACTGCAACCTCTGCCTCTCAGGTTTAAGCAGTTCTCCTGCCTCGGCCTCCCGAGTAGCTGGGACTACAAGTGTGCACCACTGTGCCTGGCTAATTTTTGTGTTTTTAGTAGAGATGGGGTTTTGCCATGTTGGCCAGGTTGGTCCTGAACTCCTGACATCAGGTGATCCGCCTGCCTTGGCCTCCCAAAGTGCTGGAATTACAGGCATGAGCCACCATGCCCAGCCTGAGAGTCTTTTCTTAGTAGATAAGTTTACGTTTCCTTAATTAACAGCACATTTAGATTTATTCCTGCCATCATCTTTTGCATTTTCTGTTTGCATGCATTTTTTCTTTTTCTTTCCCATTTTCCTACCTTATATTGAATAGACAGATAACTTTCTTCTCTTTCTCAATCAATTTGGAAGATATGTATTCTATATTTGTTCTTTCAGTGATCAATGTAAAGATTAATGTACATTCTTAAATGAACTTTTTAGCAAAATGTGAAGGTTTATCCATATCTCTTTGTTCCTTAAAATATACTAAGAATGTTAGCATATTTTAATTTTCCTGTGAAACATCTTTTTGTAGCCATCATGTCATTTTTACCTAGTATTTTAATTACATTTTTTAACCACATGAAAAAATTTTTTGCCCCTTCCTCCTTTTCAGGATAATCTATTTTGATAGTAAGAATCATTTTAGAGAACACAAATAGGATGGAAATGATGCCAAGGGTAGAACCACAGCTGATAATAACAGCTTCTGTTTGTTGAATACCTAACACAGGCCAGACGCTTTGCATATATTATCACTAATTTGCACTATATTAATATCTTCAATATAGAGACAGGAAACTGAGACTTCAAGAGATACATACCCATTCATCCTGGCTGGTAAAGGATGGAGCTGGAGAGTGGACTTTAGTAGCTGGCTTTGGAGCCACGTGTGTTGTAGGTGACCTAGTCTGTTCCGGCCAGTTCTTTAGAGTCCGTTCCTCGCTTTGGACTAGATAGTTTCACCTCTCTTTGCTGCTGCTTTATTTATTCATGGGTCCATAAATGATAGACATCATAACCGTAGTCAACATTCTCACATTTAGGAACTATGGCTTATAGAATGTGTAAAAAGTAACTTTTATAATAAGGTTTGCCATTTTAAGTTCTTCCCGTTGTTGAAGAGTAGTAGGGCCTTCATCATCCATATGCAATTTATAAATGACACCCCTTACAACACTTTCCTTTGTTTTTCCAAAATCTGTTAAAATCTGCTGATTTGTTAGAATGAGATACTTGTTGTAATAAATGTACAAGTCGTTAGTGGCTGAGTTGTAAATGGTGCCCTCAAGGGTTATGTAAATGCTCAGCCAGGTGAGGAGAAAACATATAAAGGCAGTGTTAATTTCATAATTCTTGTTCTCAAACTATTCCACTTCAGGTTTTTTTCTGGGATTGGCAGTGTATGGCTAGTAAAGGGGATAGGGGAGGATAGGAGGTGGATAGACAGATCTATATTTTATCCTTTAACAAATGGAGGTAGCATATCAAGCTTCAGTGTCCATTGCACTCCTGCCGTAGGCCTCACTTTGTCTTGCACTTTGACTCCTGAGAGAAAAATTGTTTTTGCCAACAAGGTCATAGAATGTAAGTGGAGAAGCAAGACACATATACATGGAACCGAACTGGAGAGAGTTTGCTAAAACATTACATTCCGTCGTGTGGGTTAAAATATGGAAAGCATTACATACAGAAAAGATAATTGTGGCGAGACGTTATCAGGGCAGGTAAGAGATGACCAGATGAAGAGAACAAGGAGCCTTGAAATCCTGTTATTTTCATATGTATTAAGAGAGAGAGGGGCTGTATGTCCAGAGACCCTAAAGTTGACCCAAGGTAGAACCCTTGGTAGACCAGCCTTCCCATAAGGACATTAATGTCCATTCTCCATAGTGAATTCCAACTTTCCAAGAACTCTCCCCCATATAATTGTGAGTAAAAGGGCACCTGTCAGCAGCCTCCTCAGCCCACCCTTCCTCATGTTGTTCATCTGTCCCTTATGCTAAAATTCGTTTGGTGTAAACAGTGTGTACTGCACTGTGGTGCCATGTTTACATGTTGTCTTGGGATTTCTTCTTTCTCCTGTCTCCTACTTCCTTTGGTCTCCTTAGTGCCTGGTCTTTGGAAGTAGAAGATGTCCAGTAAACACACATACATGAATGCCTGCAGACTGAAGTCTGTGCCCATGGTGCAAGGAAAGCTCTATGGAATCCCAGATTATAAACCACCCTCTGCCTTGAGATCAGGAACAGAGCTGAGGCCTTGCTGTCACTTTACAGTCTGAATGTTCTATGCCTCCTCTTGTCTCAGCTAGAGCTTCTGTGTAAAAGCAAGTGTTCTAGGAGTTTCCGTCCCATGATTCTGATTGGGTGTGTGATTTCTGAAGAGGTTGGAATGGGAAATGTGGAAACTTAGTACTAAGGACGGGCCTTTGATTTAAACAGTTGCTGTCCAGACTAGCATTTGAGTTTAACCAATGAGGTAAAAGAAGGGATAGGTGGTGTTTGGGACAAGTAAAAGCTGTTTCATAGTCAGTGTTTGAAAACTCAAGAGAGATGATCCTATTTGTGTCTGGAGGACTTGCCTTTCCGGTGAAGAATCTCTACCTTATCCCACATCAGCAGTCACTAATAGTAGAATAATGATCACTATAGGGTTTTTCTTATCCGAATTTGCTAGAATCCATATCAGAACACACAGCTGAGAAAGACCCTTCGTTTATTTGGGCATGTGGCTAGTAATATCCCCTTGAACTAAATCCTTTTTTTATAGTTAGGAGATACATTTTATTTATTTGTTTTTATGGTAGATTTATTTTTTAACCCACCATTACCCATCTCTTTCTGTCCCTATCCTATCTGCACCTAGGATAGAATTATATTTAACAGTAACCTGTTAATTTAGATAGAGTAGGATAACTCTACTCCAAAAATAATCAAAGGATGTCTAACATTGGTCTTGATGTAAGAAGCTAAAATAGAGTTTTGGTTACTGGTATTTGTTTGCTTATAGTTAAATGAAGTAGATTCAAGTCAGGACTTTTTGTTTTACTCTGGATATTTTGTTCTACCCTTTCTCCTTGAGTAGATAGTCAGATGTCTTTTGAAAATGTGTTTTGGGTGTGGAATATTAACGCAATTTTCGATAACTCTTCCAGAACTTTCAACTCGCGTGCTTCTGAGCTGCTGTGGATGGCCCCGGCTCTCTGGACTGTCCTTCCGAGTAGGATGTCACTGAGATCCCTCAAATGGAGCCTCCTGCTGCTGTCACTCCTGAGTTTCCTGGTGATGTGGTACCTCAGCCTTCCCCACTACAATGTGATAGAACGCGTGAACTGGATGTACTTCTATGAGTATGAGCCGATTTACAGACAAGACTTTCACTTCACACTTCGAGAGCATTCAAACTGCTCTCATCAAAATCCATTTCTGGTCATCCTGGTGACCTCCCACCCTTCAGATGTGAAAGCCAGGCAGGCCATTAGAGTTACTTGGGGTGAAAAAAAGTCTTGGTGGGGATATGAGGTTCTTACATTTTTCTTATTAGGCCAAGAGGCTGAAAAGGAAGACAAAATGTTGGCATTGTCCTTAGAGGATGAACACCACCTTTATGGTGACATAATCCGACAAGATTTTTTAGACACATATAATAACCTGACCTTGAAAACCATTATGGCATTCAGGTGGGTAACTGAGTTTTGCCCCAATGCCAAGTACATCATGAAGACAGACACCGATGTTTTCATCAATACTGGCAATTTAGTGAAGTATCTTTTAAACGTAAACCACTCAGAGAAGTTTTTCACAGGTTATCCTCTAATTGATAATTATTCCTATAGAGGATTTTACCAAAAAACCCATATTTCATACCAGGAGTATCCTTTCAAGGTGTTCCCTCCATACTGCAGTGGGTTGGGTTATATAATGTCCAGAGATTTGGTGCCAAGGATCTATGAAATGATGGGTCACGTAAAACCCATCAAGTTTGAAGATGTTTATGTCGGGATCTGTTTGAATTTATTAAAAGTGAACATTCATATTCCAGAAGACACAAATCTTTTCTTTCTATATAGAATCCATTTGGATGTCTGTCAACTCAGACGTGTGATTGCAGCCCATGGCTTTTCTTCCAAGGAGATCATCACTTTTTGGCAGGTCATGCTAAGGAACACCACATGCCATTATTAACTTCACATTCTACAGAAAGCCTAGAAGGACAGGATACTTTGTGCAAAGTGTTAAATAAAGTAGGTACTGTGGAAAATTCATGGGGAGGTCAGTGTGCTGGCTTACACTGAACTGAAACTCATGAAGAACCCACAGACTGGAGACTGGAGGGTTACACTTGTGATTTATTAGGCCCTTCAAAGATGATATTTGGAGGAATTAAGTATAAAGGAATTAGAGGTTTTTGCTAAAGAAATTAATAGGACCAAACAATTTGGACATGTGATTCTATAGACTAGAATTTCTTAAAAGGGCGTTACTGAATTATAAGCTTACTAGGCTATAAAAACAAAACAGTGTGGAGTTTTATTTATTGAACAATCTAGTCACTTGAAGGTTTTGTGTGTATCTTATGTGGATTACCAATTTAAAAATATATGTAGTTCTGTGTCAAAAAACTTCACTGAAGTTTTACTGAACAAAATTTTACCTGTTTTTGGTCATTTTAATAGGTACTTTAAGATGTTGCAGTATTTCACAGTTATTAATTATTATTTAATATTACTCCAAACTTTCTGTGTTTTTAAATGTTTTGACGATTTCAATACAATATAAACAGGATAGTGAATCATTCTTTACATTCAAACATTTCCAGTTACTCAACTGATCAGTTTATTATTGATATATCACTCCATTAATGTAAAGTCATAGGTTATTATTGCGTATCAGTAATCTCTTGGACTTTGTTAAATATTTTACTGTGATAATATAGAGAAGAATTAAAGCAAGAAAATCTGAATTATTGTCTTGTTTTTAAAAATATAGTCCCTAGTGTTTTTAGAAGTCACTTAATCTGTCTCATTTTTCCACCTGGAAATTAGGAATAATGTAGAATGCCAGGCAGTAATTTCCTTTTGGAAAGGACTCTGAAGGCAGAAAAAAAGGGAGAGAACCTCATGGGCAGAATATTATAAAAAGAGTGTCATATTCCAGCATTTGAGTTGGAAAGAGAAGATTGAAGATCGAAGTTGCATTATTAGTCTGCCCTATTTTTTTCCTTTTAACAATCAGTTTGTGAATAAATAGGAAAGAAGCTGCCGCTGTTACGAGTTTCTCATCAAGATGAAAGCCCTAATGTGTAAAGTCAAATCTGATTTAAATTTTGTGCTTTTGTAGAAAGACATTTCTTCATGTGGTGATATATCTTTTGTTGGACCTGCTAATAGTAGGTCAAAGAGGAGTACTCCTTGTCCCCTATTCCTGGGATTATGCAGTTTTCTTTTTAGAATTTATATAGGGCAAGTGGTTATTTTTTTCTGAATTATAGGATGGAAAAAGATCATATCCTTTGTCAGGAAATATAAACTTGAAAGTATGTAGTCAGCTCTTGTAATATTCATATTTATGATTGTCCTATATGAAAGACAACTTCAGTTAAAACTGTAATGTGTGGTTCTCTATAACAAGGCGATTTCTGTTTCCCAAGGCTCAGACCTAATCCAGTTATATTAAAATCAGTTAAATGAACTATTCTATGGAATCGATCTATGCCCTTGTTAATCTTCATCCATATAGGAGTGACTTCCTTTAAGACAGATGGTGGTAGTTATTTTTGTGGCATGGTTAGATTTGACTGGTTTTGCAGAAGATTATAGTCATGTACTGCATAATGACATATACAGTAGTGATCCCATAAAATTATAATGGAGCAGAAAATCTATTGCCTCATAATGTTATAGCCGTTGTAATGTCATAGCCTAGTGCGTTACTCACGTGTCTGTGGTGATGCTGGTGTAAACAAACCTCTTCACTGCCAGTTGTATAAAAGTACAGCACATTCAGTTATGTACAGTACGTAATACTGATAATGACAATAAATGACACCAGTTTGTGTATTTACTTTTCATCATTATTTTAGAGTGTTCTCTTCCTGCTTATTAAAAAAAAAAAAATGTTAACTCTGATACAGCCTTGGGCAGGTCCTTCAGGAGGTATTCCAGAAGAAAGCATTGTTATCATAGGAGATGACAGCTCCTTTCATGCTATCTCCCCTGAAGACCTTCCAGTGAGACAAGATGTGGTGATGGAAGACAGTGATACTGATGATCCTGACCCTGTGGGCCTAGGCTAATGTGTGTGCTTGTGTCTTAGTTTTTAACAAAGTTTAAAAAGTAAAAAAATAAAGTTTAAAATAGGAAAAAGTTTATAGACTAAGAATATAAAGAATATTTTTGTGCAGTTTTACAAGATATTTGTGTTTTAAATTTAAGCTAAGTGTTATTACAAAAGAGAGTTTAAAAGTTTGTAAAGTTACAGTGATTTAAGTTTAATTACTGAAGAAAGAAAATTTTTAAATGAATTTAATGTGGCCTACTTTAAGTGTGCCGTGTTTGTAAAGTCTACAGTAGTGCACAGTAATGTTCGAGGCCTTCACGTTCACCCACCACTCACTGAGTGACTCAAACAGAGCAACTTCCACTCCTGCAAGCTCTGTTCGTGGTAAGTGCCCTCCTTATGCAGATGTACTATTTTTTATCTTTTATACTGTTTGGTGTTTTTACTGTGCTTTTTCTATTTTAGATACACCAGTACCATTGTGTGACGGTTTCCAACAGTAAGTATTCAGTACAGTAACATGCTGTACAGGTTGGCAGCCTAGAAGCAATAGGCTCTACCATGTAGCCTAGGTATATAGTAGACTATACCATCTAGGTTTGTGTAAGTACACTCTGTAATGTTTGCACAACAACAAAATCACCTGACATATTTCTCTACAACGTATCTCCATTGTTAAGTGCCACATTTCTGTACATCGATGTTTGGGAAGCTAACTCAAAACATTTCTAGAGTGAACTTTTAACACACAAAAAAATTCCCTTTCACTTTTAGAAAAGACAAAAACAAAAAACAAAAAACACCAAACAAGTAAAATGTTAATAATTGCCAAGTTTCAAAAGATTGTTTCTTCTGAACTGAAGGTTGGTGTCTAAAAGAACCTACAAAGTTTAATGATTAGGAAAACATTAAGAGATTGAGTCATTATTTTTTTTGTTTTTAACTATATTTCTTAATAAGCTTTCAGGAAGTAAATATTAGCTATGTTATTAAAATCATGACCTGGTGTTTAATCAAATCAGCAGCTTTAAAAATTTTAACTCATATAACAACGTTTAATACTGGGGCTTTTCCTTGCGGTGATTCAGCCCCATCTGCCTTAGCCCTGCCATCCCCATAGTTTCACACACCCTCTGCCTCACTTGCTTTCCCTGTCTGCAAGTGTTGAATTTGTGACTTAGCACATTAGTTAGCTTTGCTAAGGGTCACAAATGCTACAGTAACACCCAAATCTCAGACTTGATGACAACCAAATGTTTTCACTCACATTGCATGGCAGTGGTTGGCTGCAACCCTGCTCCATGTGTCTTTCATTCCAGGATCCAGGCTGAGGGGCAGCCCGTTTGGAACATGCTGTTCTTATAGAAGGAAATTAAAAAGCTGGTGGAAGCACAGTGGCATATATTAATACATCCACTGGCTGAGACGAATCCCTTGCCAAGCCCAGTGTCACTGAGGTGGGGAAGTACATTTCTCTTGCAGGAAATAACTGCAAGTGGTGTTGCAGCATGCAGGAATGTGTTCTTCCGCAGAATGAGGTACGAAAAACAGTGCAATTGTACTGTGAGCTGCCACACTCAGTGTCTGAAAGGGAGACGGAGCCTTCAGACAATGCTAGACAACTCTGCAACAGACCCCAATTTAGGCCCTGTAAACCTGCAGAAACATAAGACATAAAAATTTTTGCCTAATGCTGCCAACTTTGAAGGTGGTTTCTAATGATGATAATTAAAACAGTTCTCACCAGGGAAATTTCCCATTGTCTGTGGCCCCGGGGCCAAGCCTTCTTTCCTCACATCTGGCCCCTCCTCCATACATGCGGGTCCTTACCCCTGCTTGAGGTTATCAACGAGTAATTTCCAAAACTCCTTTCCACTTAGCCCTCTTTGTTTCCA